CTTGCTCTGTTGTTTCCCAAAAAGTTATTGCAGACATCGCGAATTCCTTCAAATGCCCTCTTTTGGATAGGAGTTAATAGATCAGAGAATTCGGAGCATTCCAAAAGCTGTCTAGTTTGTGGACCATTCAGTGTACCTGGGCATTGAGAGTACATTTGTTTTATGAGAAATTACCAGAGATTGCATGCACCACACAGCTATAGTTGGATGCGAAAATAAGTAGCTTTTTTTAGTCAATATCGTAAACCATCCAAATTGTAACATAGTCCAAATTGTAACAATTGAACAAATAGACTAATTTTCTGCAAAACTTTGAAGGGTAACTGTTGTTTTTTATATCATATTTGAGAAGATCACGAAAAAAAACTTCCGATATGAATATATGACTTATTTGTATTTTTTCAGAAAAGTGGTTTATTTTAAGACTATGTTACAATTAGAACTATGTTACAATTTGGATGGTTTACGATAGTTCGGGATATTTTGAAATAGCAGCTACCGCACAATTTGTTCCGAATTATTCTGAACGATCAATTGGATCCAAACGTGGTATTGGAAGTGGTATCCAAACGTTCAATCAATGAAAAAGAGACAAATCCATATATAACGTTTGACCTCTACTTCTAAAAATCCAATTGATCGTTCAGAATAATTAGGAACAAATTGTGCGGTTGCTGCTATTTCAAAATATCCCGAACTATTGACTAAAAATAGCTACTTATTTTCGCATCCAACTATAGCTGTATGGTGCATGCAATCTCTGGAAATTACTTTTTTAAAAATGTTTTTCTTTATAATCAATATTCACCTGCTTCAATTTTTGCATCGGACAATTGGGTACGGAAAAAATCCTTCAAAAATGCCAATGCCAAGTACTTGTACAATTTATCCGGAAAAATCTCAAGAAGCATAGTGAAAAATCATTATAATCGTATCATTTTAAGTGTTTCTTGTAGTTTTGAACCATTTTCAATAAAATTATTCGGAAAAATAAACAGAAAACCCGAAATTGATATTTTTGATTTTTGGTTGGTTTCACGGATAGAGATCAGTAAGCGGTTATGTAGTATGCAAGTCGACTAGATATGGTATTTTGGGTTAGTATTTGATGGAAAAATATTTGTTTCATCTCTGGCTACCGTTTTGGTAGCACAATAATTAGGAAAAATGAAAAACCGTGCGCGTTTTGGTCAAAAAATAGTGAAAATGGCCTTTTTTTCGATATTTTGGTCAAAAAAACCAGCCAAAGATGATTTTTTGGCATATTTTTTCAACGGAATTTGTTTTTTTGACTCTTTTCTATGAAATGAAAAAAGATTTCAAGTCAATAACATCATTAATAGTTGAGTTAATGACCAAAACATGATGATATAAAAGTCTAAAAATCCTAGCCCACACAAAATATTTGATAGGTCGATATTTTTCTTATTACCACGTCAACGGAGAAATCGTAGTATGCAGTTTTGTTTGTTTTTAGGTCCTCTAACATCCTGCATTTAAAGTGTCCATGTGTGAGAGCAAAAGTTGAAATTTGTTGTACGGTGATATACCACAATAAAATTTACTACTAACTTAGCAGTCACTGTAACTTAACAGTGAAGTTTCACTGTCACAGTGAGCATTCGAACGAGTATAACGCATTCATATATACACGGAGTAAGCCATTGGGCGTGCGTGTTATGTATGCGTAGTACTTGTTCGCATGCTCACTGTGACGGTGACACTTCACTGTTAAGTTACAGTGACTGCTGAGTTAACAGTAAATTTTATTGTGGGATATCATCCACACCGGCTGTAAAATTCTAAGAATTCTGGCTCGAGAGCTACCAAACGAACGACACACACAATGTTTGTGAAGCCAAAAATAAAAATAAAATAAAATAAAATGCAATATAGCAACAATAATATACGTTATGGCCAAAGAAGGCATGATTTGTACCCTTAGATGCGATACAGAATAACCGTTAATCTAGAGTCACTGTTTAGCGGTACTATTTATAATATTCGTAAATTTCGTTCTACTTTATCCTTTTGAACTTTGAAATGAAAAATACGTTTAACACAACAACACATATCGTTTGGACTTTTAGCTTAAAATTCGAAGTGAAAATCTATTACTCTGATAATAATGTGAAATTTTCCCATTTGACACCAAATAGCTTCTCTATTTGATACGAAATAGTTTTTCTATTTCATCTGATATTTTTCCGCGCAACTTTTCTGTATTACATTTTCGCTCCAAACCGCTCATGTGATGTACAAAGGCACTTCCATTAAATCTAGCAAGGCCAATCTGACAGCAACGGGAATCTCCATAAAAAACACGTAGAAACTAACGCCACCTCGAGACGCGTACCGTGTCCATATGAACGTGCTATTGTAACCACAAATTGTGTTCCATCCACTGTTTGATTAAATGTTGTCGCAGGTACGGTTCGTTAGGTGGCGCTAGTTATGCGTATTGTCTTAGCTAGCAGATTGTGTAGCAAAGGATCCGTACTGTGTGTAGCATGTTTGTACAATGAACAAAACAGCGCAATGTTTGTGTATGTGACATAACAACAGCGATCATCATGTTGAAACTTTCTACTTGAAAGTCCATGTTGTGATCCTTTCAATTCACAATTCTTCTACATTCGAACGAATTGAGAAAAAAATCGAGAATAAAATTGAACGCGTGCATTCAAAAAATATGGAGATCAACTCAAAGCAAAGATGAACGCGTTAAGGCTTCCATGAAAGTCTAAAGAGTTCACTCCGTTGATGCACCTGTTCTAATCTTCATTGTGACATTCGTATTCCCTATCTGAAATAAGCATTTATCTCTGACGTTATAGTTGTTGTTTTTTTTTTAAACACAGCACTAGTACGCAATCTTTTTCTGAAGTTTACCGCTGAGTGATTCGCTTCAATAAAACTGAAACATAATTTCACGATGCACATCAAAGCTATCTGATGGCATGTCTTACCTTATCTCTGGTATTTACATTTTCAAAAAAAAAACTGCTCAATATTATATGGGTTTTCGACATGACGTATCCCACTTTTTCTGTGGAATTGAAGAGTTCCTCCAATTAACGGAACACTCATTTCCCTATCATTTCTGACAAGAAAGTGTGGCAAAGTTCATCTCACGAATGTAAAACATTTTCTCTCGATTCACTTCACTGATCTATTTTTCTTTCAATTTTTAGCAAACAAAAAAGACGAAAGCGGCCGAACAGCTCTTCATGTCGCTGCTGAGAATGGTAGCTCTGAAAAACTATGCTCACCAAATCGGAAATTGATTGAATCTATTTCATTGATCTGTTTCAGGTAATTTGAACGACGTTAAAAAGCTAATTGCCAAAGGAGCCAAAGTTGATTCGACAGACAAAAAACAGCGCCAACCTCTTCATTTGGCTGCTATGAATGGTAGTGTCGCACATTTATTTTCACAAAACAAGAAATTGTTTGGATTTTGTTCATTGATCGGTGTTCTTTTTCAGGTCACTCGAATGTCGTTAACTTTCTCATCACGAAAGGAGCCCAACTTGATCCTGCAGACGATTTACAACAGACACCTCTTCATTTAGCTGCTGAGAATGGTAATTTGGAATATTTTTGCTGACTAAATAAGAAAGCGCTTGGATCTAACTCATTGACTGGACTAACTTTTCAGGACACAAGGATGTTGCTGAGAAGCTTATTATAAAAGGAGCCAAAGTTGATATCAAAGATGCCAATAAGCGGACAGTTCTTCATTATGCTGCCATGAAGGGTAATGTTGTCTATTTATTTTTACTCAGGAAATTTGTTCGATTTATTTCATTGGTCGGTGCTATTGGGTGTATGCATTAAAAACGAGCGATTTTCGCCGGATGGCACCACCATCGCTGGTGGCATCGGGCAATACTGGTGCCAACTTCATATGGTAGGGCTAATGACAGGCTACAAAAATTACCATCTGTCATTTGCCCAAAGTGTAAACAAAGCGAAAAATTTAGTTACGAATATGGAGAATTTCGAACCAAAAAAACGTCATTTGCGGGAGCAGTTTTTTTCATACGGGAAAAATGTGAAAAATAGATTATTCTTTTATAGAGTGGACACTGGTAGTGAAGAATGGACGTTTCTCGATAGACACAAGCATATCAAACCACATTTTGATCGTGGTTACTTGTCATTATAGGAGGCGCCACAATCACTCCCTCGAAAAAGGGTGATTCTCCATATTTGCGGGGGTGGGGCAGATATGGTGCATTGGAAGGTGGTAGAAACTTATCAAAATGTTAGCTTTTATCGTTCCCAACAGAAACTAATCGGTATATACCAATTTCTGACAGCAAAATCGAAAAATTGACTTATCGCCGCAAAAAAAGCGAATTTTTGAGGAAATTTTTTAATGACTTTTTAGCTATCAAGTCCAAAATTTCTAAGAAGCTATTAATTTTGAAAATCCTTTATGCCCCCGTTGTAATCTCCAGACATTGCGCTTTCTTACTACCACTGGTTTCAGTCGATTCAATATCACCTAAGTGGAGGACGGTTCACTTGTTTTCAAAAAAGTCAAAAATTGGCTTGATTCCTTTTTAGCCGCCAAGCCGACACAGTTTTTTTGGGACGTAATCCGTAAATTGCCTGAATTGTGGGGAAAAGTCATAGCTTCCGATGGACAGTACTTTGATTGAAATATAATTTCACTTTGTCATTGAATTAAATGATTATTTTTCGATAAAAAAACGCTCGTTTTTAATGCATACACCCAATATTTTTCAGGTCATAAGGATATCATTGATATGCTCATCACGAACGGAGCCAAAGTTGATGTTGAAGACTATTTAAATCGGACACCTCTCCATTATGCTGCTGAGAATGGTAATTTTGTCTATTTATTTTTACTCAGGAAATTTGTTCAATTTTTTTCATTGGTCGGTGCTATTTTTTAGGTCATAAGGATATCATTGATAAGCTCATCACGAACAGAGCCAAAGTTGATGTTAAAGACTATTTAAATCGGACACCTCTCCATTATGCTGCTGAGAATGGTAATTTTGTCTATTTATTTTTACTCAGGAAATTTGTTCGATTTTTTTCATTGGTCGGTGCTATTTTTCAGGTCATAAGGATATCGCTGAAAAGCTAATCAAAGGAGGAACCAATTAATTTTGAAGATGAAAATAATAAGTTACCTCTCCATTATGCTGCTATGAAGGGTAATGTTGTCTATTTATTTTTACTCCGGAAATTTGTTCGATTTTTTTCATTGGTCGGTGCTATTTTTCAGGTCATAAGGATATCATTGATATGCTCCTCACGAACGGAGCCAAAGTTGATGTTAAAGACTATTCAGATCAGACACCTCTCCATTATGCTGCTGAGAATGGTAATGTTGTCTATTTATTTTTACTCAGGAAATTTGTTCGATTTTTTTCATTGGTCGGTGCTATTTTTCAGGTCATAAGGATATCATTGATATGCTCATCACGAATGGAGCCAAAGTTGATGTTAAAGACTATTCAGATCGGACACCTCTCCATTATGCTGCTGAGAATGGTAATTTTGTCTATTTATTTTTACTCAGGAA